CATGTTGCCCTATGACAATGGTTAACAACCTCACAACACATCAACACTATCCTTACTCAACCTTGGGTTCCCTATCACCAGCTTCCTTGTCCCTAGAAGGGGGTATTTTTTATTACAAGTTATACATATTGTAAAAAAATTCAAATAAAAAAAGTAAAAAGGACTTTCACTTTCTGTATTATATTTTTAATGTTTGGATATCTTGTTGTTGTTGGCCTCTGACTCATGGCAACCCCATGCACAATAGAACGAAATGCTGCCTGGTCCTGTACCATCCCCATGATCTGTTGCGGACTGGACCACTGTGATCCACAGGGTTTTCAATGGCTGATTTTCAGAGCAGACCATCAGATCCTTCCTCCTATTCCATCTTAGTCTAAAAGAGCTGCTGAAACCTGTTCAGCATCATAGTAACATATAAGCCTTCACTGAAGGATGGCAGCCGTGTGTGAGGGGCACTGGCTGGGAACTGAACCTAGGTCTCCCACATGAAGGTGAGAATTCTATGACTGAACCAGACACTGCCCCTTGAATATCTTACAGAGAACATGTAGTACTTTTTTTTACACAAAAGGACCTTTCTTTCCTAGTCCCAAAGGAAACACACTAGTTTCCTAAAGAGCAGAGCCTATTACATGCAAGCCATTATTCTATGTAATTCTATGAGTAGACTTCATAACCAACTGCAGTAATCAGAGACCACGGGCTGTAGGGGCCAACAGCCCTAAACAGCTTACGAGTCAAGTGAGGCATCTCTGTGCTACAATAATGGAGGTTTATTAGCTATACTACTGAAAGGAATAAGCTTCAGTTTTACAGAAATTATTACCCTAGTTTGACTGAATAAATTTCACCTGCATACAGTACTATAGTTTTAAGAAAAGGAGAGAAAAGAAAACCTCTGGCTCACTTTCTTTAAGAAAATGCTCTAACCTCTCTCTCTTACATGGGATTCTTAGGCCAACTGGGGTCTGTGTTTTGAGTTCCCCTGGTGAAGCCACTCTAATACCCATCTGTTCACTTGTCTCAAACTTAACTTTTTCACCCTTTTATAGTCATACTCACAAACATATATCAATATGTATTCTTCAACACAGATTAAAATTTGCTTTCCTCGAAAAATTTCTCATCATAGCTTAAAAAAATCAAGTTGTTTTTCTCCGAAGACCCTCTCTGTCTGCCTATATAGCTGTTTAGCTCTTTTCATTATATGGCTACTATCCTCCAGTCACAGATACCCACAAGTTTTCCTACTGCCTAGGTCTAAAACAAAAAAGCTGACATCAACCAAGTTAACAATGGCCAAGTTTTGTCTCTAAATCCAAATAACCTTGGCAGTATTTAACCATGAGATCTAGCTATGCCCAGCGAATTGGTGAAATTCTTAGGAACATGACAAAAATCAGTGGGTTCATTTTTCAGCTGGAATGCAGATTAGGCAGTAATCTTAAAAGTGTGAGCTGGTTCCAGTATAGGACACAGAGAGTGGTAGGGACTGTAATAACCTGGAAGGTATATGGTCCAACTAAAGAATTTAAAACCAAAATTTTAGGTCACGAAGGCCGGTTTGTAGTCTCTTTCTCTCACCTCTACACTGGCCAGTACATAGTCTGAACAGGACCGCTGGCTCATTTCTTATTTGATTAGAAATGATCTGCTTAACTAAATGAGGCAGAGGCAGAGGCACAGTGCCCCTCAAGGTACTGCTCCTATGTAGCCTCAATTGGGCCTTGGACTCACTCTTTTTGCCCCTCACAGCTCATGACCCACCTCGGAATTTTGCTGCTTACTAATACTTTCATAGTGTTTCAGATTCTGAGGTTTAAAAACAAACAACAACAAAAACCCTTTACGAACCTTATGTTTCCTCTTGCCTTTGTTGGAAACCTTTTCTGAGGCTTGTTTCTGAGCCTCTCTCGTGTGCTTTTCTGGCACATTTTTCTTTTCCCCCTTGGGTGGCTCTGTTTCTTTGTAAGGCTTTCCTGGTATTCTAGTCAAGAGATTCAGGTCAATCTTCACAATAAGTGGATACCTGTCATCAGGCTCACTGAGGGGTGAAAGAAGTTCCTTCTCTTCCATAGGAGAGAACATTCGTTGCCGAAAAAAGCTGTCTTCTTCCTCTACTGAGGAAGGCTTAACGGGAGTCCTACTGCTCTCAGGGTACTTTGGAGTTTGTGAGGACGGAGGAAGGCTCTCACTTTCATCCGAATCTGAGGATGAGGTATCTGTTTCTATGATTTCCCTTGATTTCTGAGAAGATTTACTTGTTGACTTGTATTTCTTTTTCTCTGCTGTAGGTCGAGGGGAAGATTTGGACTCCTTCTTTATATTGGGTTTCCTCGAGCCTTTGGTGGCTGCCTTGTGTCTGCTGGAGGGCATGCTAGTGGCCATGTCAACTGGGGTTTCACTTTCTATTTTCAGGCCTCCACGGGGCTCTTCAGTAGCTGCCTTCTCGGCCTTTTTGGGTTGTTTTTTGCCTACAGTTCTTCTCTGGGTTGTGCTATCACTCTGTGCAGGAGACTTCTGCCTCCCTCGTCCACCTTCTGATCCCTTTTGGATGGTTTTGGAGTCTCGCCCAGGAGTAGCGGAACTCGTTTCTTTAGGTCCACCTGGATCAGTGTAGCTATTCCCAGTGCCCTGTTCTCGGCCTTCCTTTTTATAGCCTTGAGATGATGGGATGTTACTGTCCACAGAAGAAGCTGGTGACACTTTATGGGGGTTCACTTTATTCAACCAATTATCAAGTTGCCATTTGTTTGTTGGTGGTGGTTCAGGCTGAAAACATAAATAATTAAGCTTTTATTGATATTGAAACTTTCTCTCTCTTCTACAATCTCAAGGAAGAAGAAAAAATATAATGCCTGATGCCACAAAAGCATTAGCTAGCAGGAAGAGGTTAATGGTTCTGACTGACCCAAACCAAAGGACTATTAGCTCTAATCACTTGAATGAGAAGATAAGCTTCATGTCATATATGGCCTTTAAATACCAAATATTCCTGTCAGGAATCCAACTTCAAAGGCATTATTAAAAATGACTAATATTTTTAATTCCAGGAAGTAAACAAATGATGTAGATACCAATAAAATTTTTCAACTACATTTTATCAAGCTACAGTAAAATTATACTGCGTAAGAGCTCTTTTTATCCACTAACACACACACAAACAAAATCCATGAATTACCATGCTGAGACACAAAATGTAAAACCTACACTTAAGAAATTCGATATTTCAGTGACTTGCAACATGACCTCAAGCAGTTCCTAATTTAGACCAAAATGTTTGCTCAAATAACAGGGAAACTGAAGTATCGGAGTCTCCTCCAAGACACACAGTTCAATTTCTTTGTGTAAGAGTATGTAACCTTGTTTCCTTCACCTTTTATATTTGAGTTAGCTTTTAACTGGATGTCACCAGGGGCCTTGAGAGGGCCTATGGAAGAGGCCCTCTGTCTCCATCTCACCTCAGGAGATGCACTCTGAGACGGCTCATTTGCCTCACTGTCACTGGAACTACTTTCACTCTCTGAGTCAGATCCAGAGCTGCTTTCAGATCCACTGTGGCTGCTAGAATCATCCCTGGAGTTATCTGCTCCTTCACTATTATGGTGTGAAGGTTCAGAGTTACTAAAAGAGATAAAATATAAAATGACCAAAAGTTTTTTTTACAGTGAAAACAGGAAAACATTCAGATTAACAACCAACTTTATTTAAAATGTTTATAATTTGTTAAGCCGTTACAATTCTATGAATCCAGAACTTCATTACAAATGAAATAAATACTTGCTTAAAAAAACCACCAGGTCTTTTCTTCCTTGCAGCCGCTGGTGGGTTTGAACCACTGACCTACTGGTTAGCAGCCGAGTGCTTAATTGTGCCGCCAGGGATCGTTTCAGCTATCATACTTGCCTTTAAAAACTTTTATGGTAATTTACCTACCATAAAATTCACCCATTTTAAGTGTACAACTAAATGATTTCTAGGCAGTTTACACAGTTATGGAACCATCACCACAATCAATATTTATTATTTATGAAATCACTTATTATATCACTACAGTATCATCAGACGGACCCTAACCCTTCAAAACAAAATAAAAGGAAGCCTACCTTCCTGGTGTACTCCGTGGCATTGTCTTATCACAATCCTAAAATTAAAGCATGAGAAGGAAATCTGAGAAAGAATAAATAGGACTCCACCTGCTTAATGTGAACAACACCTGGAATCTTAATAGAAAAACTAGCTTCTCTAACGTGTGCATCAATATTGACTTGACAATAATACTATGACATTATGGTTTTTACCTAAAGAATAACTGAATTGCTGGGACAGGATCAAAAGCTTTGTTAACAGTCCTTCTAGTCAACAATGGCATGCTTCATGAGTATGTTCTGATCCATGACAAGTATTAAGGAAAAGCCAATCTTTTTAAATAAGAAAAAATTAAAAGTTTACAAAAAAAAGAGCAGAAAACGACAACATTACAGTGTCAGAAAGCTTATATGAAGGAACAACTTATTTTAAATAACTAGATCATAAATGAATTAGTTATAAATTCTTATAGAAGACAGATACTGTATGAGACTGGCAAAATCATACGGTAGTACACACACCTGTTCCCCATCACTGTCTTCACTGCTGCTTAGTTTTAAGTCATCTTTTAACATACTAGAGGGAAAAGGAAGAAAGGAATTATTATTTTTGGACCTGTTTATAATGGCATACCAGAGTATTAAATATCTACCAATAATTCTAGGAGCAATCACTGGGGTAGTCAAAGATTTCGTTGTTAAAAAAAAAAAAAACAGAATAGTAAATCTTACTCTTTCTGGTTTGGTTCATATCCAGAGTAGAAACTTAAAAAACAGAAATTTATCCATTTCACAAGTGCTAACCTTTCCATAAAATACTCATCTTTCTTTTCAAATTAAACAAAATCCACCTTCTATAAACTTTTATTCACTTCAGTTTTTCCTTAATTCCATACACATTCTATTACTAAAAGAAAGTATCACAGTCATACTCAACAGTCCACTAGAGAGAAATAACTCCTATAAAGAAGGAAGATAAAATGAAAGCATTAAGCAATTCTTTCTTTATCCCAAATGATGCATGGAGAGAGATTTGTACAACTGCTAGCAACTGGGTGGCTGTAAAAATCAGAACACAATTCCTTAAGTCAAAGTTCTGGTCCATAAATGCCTTGCTATGAAAAGCAAGTGCCCTCTGTAGAAATAACACTTTTGGGTAAAAAGACCTGGCTGTATAACAGAAATGATTATCTATGAATTAAAAACTTCAAGTTCCAAATCTTAATTGATATAAATTCAAATCAAATTAAAAATACAGATACACAAACACAAATATTACATATAAGCTGACAGTTTCTGGCATTTGTTTTTTAAAGTTAAATTAAATAATTAACTTTTCCTTGAGGCCAAAAAACCAAATCATTAAAATTAAAATCTCAGTAATGAACCACGAAACATTCCTTGCCTTTTTATAGGAAAGGAAAAATTATTACAAAGCTTAGGGAAACTAGAAAAATGTTTTAATTTTTCATTACCAGTAGTTCTATTACCTTTCTTCTTAAGATTTCATGCCAGTCTCTAATCAGTGGGAACGAAACCTCCTTTCACTCCAATAAGTACTTATACTCTTCCCTCAAAGTTTAACCTGAGTTTGTAAATCTGACCCTAAGTTCAGAGTATTACACAAAAGACCACTTTGAAACAAAGTAACCTGATGATTACAGAATTATGAAAAGTATTTTAAGACTGGCCCAATTAAGTGGGTCAGAGAAAAAGAGTGTTCTTTCTTTAGGACAAGGGCTTAGTGCATCTCTATGACTGATTTCCTGTAAGGAAATGTACTTACTCTGAATTCTCTCAGCCCTTATGATTTAATAATGGCAGCTCAATGAATCAGTTTACACATGTGAATATGTCAAAGCTTTCAGCTGACTGCTCAAGGACCTGCATGCTTTTGTTCCCTCAAAACTGAAGTGATATGCACATACAAGGTAGGCACACATCAGTTCTTTGCATATGTGATAGTTAAGGTTGTATGTCAACTTGGCTGGGCCATGATTCTCGGTGGTTTGGCAGTTAAGTAATGATGTAATTCTGCAGTTATCCTCCATTTCATGATATAATGTGATCACCTCCATGAGTTGATCTGACATAATCAATCACTCAGTTGTAAAGGGGATTTTTCCTTGGGGATGGGGCCTGCATCTGATACATACGAACACTGTGGCCTGTATCCAATATATACGGATGTTCTGGCAAAGCCTGCTAGCTTTTGCTCGCTCTGGATCCTGCACCCAGCTTGTCATCATCTGACCTCTGGTTCTTGGGACTTGAGCCAGCAGCCTGTCAAACTACCTGCCAATCTTGGATTCATCAGCCTCTGCACCCTGTGAGCCTGCCATCTGACCTGCCGAACTTGGGTTTGTCATCCCCTGTAGCTATGAAGGTCAGGAGAAGCTTCCAGCCTGACTCCTGACCCACAGACTTGGGACTTGCCAGCCTCTATGACTGCGTGAGTCATTTCCTTGAGATAAATCTCTCTCTCTCCCCCCTCTATATGCTTCACTAGTTTTGCTTCTCTAGAGAAGCCTAAGACACTTGGTACCAAGAGTGGTTCTAGAGAAATAAAATTGTAAGGATGGGTTCTATAAACTGGTTCTCAAGTCTGGCTAGTCTTAAAGATGTCGATGACTCTGCTTCTAGCAGTAAAGAGGACACTATCAACCCATGGCATGAGATGGCAATAGAAATACACAAAACATCACAATAGATCAAGTATTGGTAAAAGGCAAGGTTCTGGGTGATCATGTGTTTGATACTTTTCTACAATTCTGTCAAATGAGAAGTATAAGAAGTTTGAATGGTTGGTCCTACTTTTGCTAGGCAAAGTGGTAAAAGAAAAAGATGAGCTCAGGGCTTCAGAGTCACCGCTCAAGCATCACATAAACAATCTGAGTTGCTACTTGTGCTCTGAAAGCCTTATTCTGTAGTAACAGAGCTGATATTGCTGAAAACCAAACCCGGAGTCTTATCATAAGAGTGACTGAATTACAAATGCCAACTGAATGCCCAACTTCCAATGGAGTCTGAAGTTAAAAGTGAGGGCATTAATTGGGAAGAAATGGGATCCTGAAACTTGGGATGGGGACATACAGGCAGATAATCAGGAAGCTGTGGATACTGAGACCCTAAATTCCACTGCATCACTCCTGCAAACAGAACTAGCCCTCTCACTCCCATCTGGAGATTACTCCATGTTTGTCTGCTAAGCCACCCTCCTGAGTAAAACCATTATCTCCTGCACCCCCATCTAACGAGAGATTAACCCAGCAGTATTTGAAAAGCCTTTGTCTGAGACATCACCTGTGGCAGCATCTGAATCATTGCCTGGAGTATCCCCAGGTAGATGCCTTACAAGATAGTGCTGAATGTTCTCAAGACACATCCCCACCACCCATTTTAGCTTCTAGACCTATAATTAGACTTGAGTCCCAGCTAGCCCCACAGGTGAAGTACAAAGTACCACCCAAGAGGAGGTACGCTATACTCCAAAACAACTGCTTGACTTTTCTAACATGTACAAAGATCTGGGGAACATGTGAAGGAATGGCTATTAAGGGTGTGGGACAATGGTGTAAGGAACACAATGTTGGATCAGTCCAAGTTTACGGATATAGGCCCACCAAGCACAGATTCTTCAAAGTTTCAGCTCGAGAGGTTAGGAAAGGATCTAATAGTTTATTTGGATGGTTTGCTGAAGCACAGATTACACAACGGCCTACACTAAATCAAGTTGAAGTACCAGACCTGCCTTGGTATACTATAGAAGGTATCCAAAGGCTTAGGCAAACTGGCATGTTAGAATGGATTTATCAGGTTAGACCCACAGACCACACATGGAGTGCCAAGAAGATACACTTTTTACCATCATAGTCAGGAATAAATTTGTGAAAGTAGCCCCAGCATCCTTGAAGACTACTGTGATTGCTATTTTATGTAAGTCAGATTTGACAGTGGGAACTGCCTTAACTAAATTAAGACATCTAACTACAATGGGGCTGACTGGACCCCATGGTGGTAGGGACCAAGTGGCAGCACTCAATTGACAAAGACAAGATGGGTGTGGTTACTGTAATGGACAGCAAAGTCAAAGCAGTAATTATAACAGTCTGACTAGTATGGACTTATGACGTTGGCTACTTAGTCCTGGTGTCTCTAGGAGTGAAACAGATGGGAAATCTACTAAATATTTACTTGATCTGTACAAGCAGAGGAATTCTAGGTCAAGTGAACAGCAGTCTAACTCAAATAGCCAGAATAGGGAGACACGGCCCCTCAATCAATTTCTAGACTTGAGTCAGTTTACAGACACACAACCCCTTGAATGAAGAGAAGGCCAGGTCCCCTTGAAGAAGGATCCCAATAGACTGCAAAAATTTATACTGTTAATCTCTCCCAGCCTTCCCCAAAGGGATCTACAGCCTTTATGAGAGTAGCTGTTCACTGGGGAAAAGGAAGTAAGACTTTTCACAAATTACCAGATAATGGCTTGGAACTGACACGAATTCCAGCAGACCCAAGTTGTCTCTGTGGCCCACCAGTCAGAGTGCGGACATATGAAAGTCAGGTTATTAATGGAGTCTTGGCTCATGTCAATCTCACAGTAGGCCAGTGGGTCCTCGAACCCATCCTGTAGTGATTTCCCCCGTTCCAAAATGCATAACTGGAATAGATACACTCAGCAACTGGCATAACCCCCACACTGGATCCCTGACAAGTGGAGTAAGGGCTATAATGGTAGGAAAAGCCAAGTGGAAGCCATAAGAACTGCCCCTACCTAGAAAAATAGTAAACCAAAAGCAATACTGCATTCGTGAAGGGATTAAAAAGATTACTGCCATCATCAAGGACTTGAAGGATGCAGGGGTGGTGATTCCCACCACATCCCCAATCAACTCGCCTATTCAGCCTGTGCAAAAAGCAGACGGATCTTGGAGAGTGACAGTGGATTACTGAAAACAACCAGGTGGTGACTCCAATTGCAGCTGCTGTTCCAGATGCGGTTTCATTGCTTGAGCAAATTAATACATCTCCTAGTATGTGGTGTACATCTATTGATCTGGCCAATGCCTTTTTCTCTGTACCTTTTTCAAAGGATCATCAGAAGCAGTTTGCCTTCAGCTGGCAAGGCCAGCAATACACCTTCACTGTCCTACCTCAGAAGTATATAAACTCGCCAGACCTACGTCATAATTTAGTCCACAGGGACCCTGACCACCTTTCCCTTCCACAACCATCACACTGGTCCACTACATTGATGGCATTATGCTCACTGGACTTAGTAAGGAAGAAAACTCAATGACTCTGGACTTACTGGTAAAACGTGTACGTTTTAGAGGGTGGGGAATTAATCTGACAAAAATTCAGGCACGTTCCACCTCAGTGAAATTTCTGGGGGTCCAGTGGTGTAGGGCATCTTGAGATATTCCTTCTAAAGTGAAAGTAGTGTTATTGCATCTGGCCCTTCCCACAACTAAAAAGGAGACATAATGCCTGGTGGGCCTCTTTGGATTTCAAAGGTAATATATACTTCATTTGGGTGTGCTACTTCGGCCTATTTATCAAGTGACTCGAAAAGTTGCTAGTTTTGAGTGGGGCCCAGAACAAGAGAAGGCTCTGCAACAGGTTCAGGCTGCCGTGCCACTTGGGCCATATGATTTGGCTGATTCAATGGTGACTGAAGTGTAAGTGGCAGATAAAGATGCTGTCTGGAGTCTCTGGAAAGCCCTTACAGGTGAATCATAGTGCAGACCATTAGGATTTTGGAGCAAAGCCCTGCCATCCTCTGAAGATAACTACTCTCCATTTGAGAAACAGCTTTTGGCTTGTTACTGGGCCTTAGCAGAGACTGAACACTTAACCATGGGCCACCAAGTCACCATGAAGCCTGAGCTAGGTATTGTATGACCCACAGAGCCATAAAGTCAGCATGCGCAGTAGCATAACATCATTAAATGGAAGTGATATATATGAGATTGAGCCTGAGCAGGATTTGAAGGCACAAGTAGTTGCATGAGGAAGTAGCCCATATGCCCACTGTCTCCACTCCTGTTACACTACCTTCCTTCTCCCATTTTGCACCTATGGCCTCATCGGGAGTTCCTAACAATCAGATGACTAAAGAAATCTCATGCCTGGTTTACAGATGTTTCCGAGAGATACGCAGGCACCACTCCGAAGTGGACAGCAGCGGCACTACAGCCCCTTTCTGGGACCTCCCTGTAGGACAGTGGTAAAGGGAAATCCTCCCAGTGGGCAGAACTTTGAGCAGTACACTTAGACGTTCACTTTGCTTGGAAGCAGAAATGGCCAGATGTGTGATTGTATACTGATTCATGGGTTGTGGCCAATGGTTTGGCTGGATGGTCAGGGACTTGAAAGGATCATGATTGGAAAATTGGAGACAAGAAGGTATGGGGAAGAGGTATGTGGACAGACGCCTCTGAATGGGCCAAAGTAGTGAAGGTAATTTGCGTCTCATGTGAAAGTTCACCAAAGGGTGACCTCGGCAGAGGAGGAGTTTAACAATCAAGTAGATACGATGGCATATTCTTTGGAAACCAGTCATCCTCTTTCCCCAGCCACTCCTGTCACTGTCCAATGGGCTCATGAACAAAGTGGCCATGGTAGCAGGGATGGAGGTTATGCAGGGGCTCAGCAACATGGAGTTCCACTAACCCGGCTACAGCCACTGCTGAGTGCCCAATCTGCCAGCAGCAGAGACCAACACTGAGTCCCTAATATGACCCCACTCCTTGAGGTGATCAGGCAACAACCTGGTAGTAGGTTGATTACACTGGATGCTCCCATCACGGAAAGGGCAGGGTTTCATCCTTACTGGAATAGACATTCTAGATACGGATTTGCCATCCCTGCATGCAAGGAATGCAGGGATGGTGGCCAAAACTACCATCCATAGACTTATAGAACACCTCATCCACCGCCTTGGTATCCCGCTTAGCATTGCCTAAGATCAAGGCACTCACTTAAAGCCAATGAAGTACAGCATGGGCCCATGCTCATGGAATTCACTGGTCTTACCATCATCCTAAAGCAGCTAGACTGACAAAACGATGGAATGGCCTTTTAAAGACACAATTACAGCATCAGCTAGGTGGCAGTATCTTGCAGGGATGGGGCAATATTCTCCAGGAGGCTGTACATGCTCTAAACTAGTGTCCAATATATGGTGATGTTTCTCCCTCAGCCAGGATTCCTGGGCCAAGGAATCAAGGGGTGGAAATGGGAGTGGCACTCTACTATCACCCTTGGTGACTCATGTGAAAAATTTCTGCTTCCTGTCCCCATGACTCTATGCTCTGTGGGTCTTAGTTCCAAAGGGAGGAATGCTCCCACTGGGAGACATAACAATGATTCACTCCACTGAACTGGAAGTTAAGAATGCCACCCAGCCACTTTGGGCTCCTCATGCCTCTGGATCAACAGGCAAAGAAGGGAGTTACTGTACTGGCTGGTGTGACTGATCCTGACTATCAAGGGGAAATCAGATTGATATTACATAATGGAGGTAAAGAAGAGTATGTCTGGAACACAGAAGATCCCTTAGGATGTCTCTTAGCACTACAATGCCCTGTGATTAAAGTCAATGGAAAACTACAGCAACCCAATTCCAACAAGACTATTAACGGCTATTATGATATATAGATATATATTTCCAGATCCTTTAGGAATGAAAGTTTGGATCACCCCACCAAGCAAAGAACCATGACCAGCTGAGGTGCTTGCTGAGGGCAATGGCAATACGGGATGGGTGGTAGAAGAAGGTAGTTCTAAATACCAGTTACAACCACATGATCAGTTGCAGAAATGAGGACTGTAACTGTTACCAGTATTTCTTCCTTGTATGTGTGCATCAATTTTTTTTTTAAAATATTTTATTGTACTTCAGGTGAAGGCTTACAGAACAAATAGTTTCTCATGAAACAGTAGTACACGTGTTGTTTTATGACATTGGTTAACAACCCTACT